TCTCTCTCTCTCTCTCTCTCTCTCTCTCTCTCTCTCTCTCTCTCTCTCTCTCTCTCTCTGTGAGATCGGAAATAAATTGACGATTGGATCCAGGAGCAACATGGAGACCAGCCAACCAGTCCCAGTAGTCTTCCACCCGAAGGACACATCCATGTCCATTACACTTCTTTTTCTTTTTTTTCTTAAACCACCAGTACTTGGCCCAGCTATCGGCCGCAGCGCTTTCCCGTTAACGCGCCGCGCCTTTAGGGCTTGGGGTACCGGACCTCAATGGCTGCAAGCGCCAGCCAAAACAATTTCGAAACGGTACCCTGCCGCTTCGGCGAAAATCGGCGCGCAGGGGCATTCCAGGCTCGGCATTGATAGCTGGGCCAAGTACTGGTGGTTTAAGTTGGACCATTTCTTGATTTATGCGTGTCATCCTTGCGCAGGGGCCATGCTAATCTTCTCTGTATCATTCCAATTTTAACAGATGTCCCAAAGGACATGTCCATCACACTTCTGAAAGATCAATAACTTAAATTCCTGAAACAAATTCAGGAAACATTTCATCATTTCCAACCCCAATTAGAGAGAGACCAAGGCTTGGGTGTGTCAAATACTCAGTGACTTCAACGCTGAATTGGTCATGAAAGCAGACAGTTTCAGCCACTGAACGTTCACATTCCATTAATAATTTAATATATATGCACACCACACTCATGTTCCATCACTACCATCTTCCCCCGAACACAATGTACCATCATTGACCATGTATACAAGTTGATCCTTCCAGTTCGATACCGTCAAGATGAGGGTGTGTTGTGTTTGGGGGAAGACTGTCGGCAGAAGCTTTAACATCAGTTTGCATAACATATAGCAGCAGTTTAGAATAGTGAACGGGCTACCGTCTTCACCCGAATAGAACACCCTGGTCGTTATCTCTGCATCTGGACAGAAATTGCCCCAAATACGGCTATAATGACAGAGCTTTGCATTCGGGTGAAGACGGTAGCCATCTGGATATCCATACATGTACTATAGCAGCAGTTTAGAATAGTGCACGGGCTACCGTCTTCACCCTGAATAGAACGCCCCCGGTCGTTATCACTGCATCTGGACAGAAAATTGCCCCAAATACGGCTATAATGACACAGCTTTGTATTCGGGTGAAGATGGTAGCCATCTGGATATCCATACACGTACTCGATCCATCCATCCATCCATCCATCGATATATCCATCCTTCCAGATATCCATCCATAGATTCCATGCACATCTCATATTTTAATAAATGATTGAAAAAGACCTTGAAAAAGGTTGTCACAACTTGTCAGGGTAAACAGGATGCCAGATCTACCTGTTGTAGACAGAGCTCAACAGTCTTCCCCAGCATTGTGACTGCCGCAGACCGGTTCTCTGGCTTCTGAAGAAGGTTAGTAATTGATCTTACTGCACCTGCACCACGACCCACGACCACAAGGAAATAAATTTGTGTCCTTCGCTCAATGAAAAAGGGGGGCGTCCTGGACTTGTGGGCGTAAATGCTTTCCTCTTCAGTCTCTCTTTTTAGGAGTTTACAACTGTTCTCATTCCAATTACCGGACTCGAAAGAGGCCATTATTATTATTCATTTATTAACTTATTCCTCTCCAGTGCATGGAATTCGTAAAGGCCCTTTTACCAGTATGTACTATAAGCATTTCCATTGAATTTTGTCATCAGTAACATTTTGAATCATTATGGAATATCCTTCTCCAGTATTTCCTTCATTATTATTATTAATTTATTAACTTATTCGGAAGTTATTCCTCTCCGGTATGTACTATGTATTTGATCCACGGTAGACGTCGGTAGTAATGCGGAGACCATAAACATAATTCTCCCATCATGGCTACGTTGGTCAGATAATGACTCAGATTCTCACAAGATATTTTTCAACAAAAATATGATAGATTTTCAAAACAGGATCGAACCAGGCCCACCAAACCAACAAAAAGAAGCCACGTTGTTTAGTTTCTCACAAGATCTCTTAAAACAAATATGATAGATTTTCAAAAGAGTACCAAACTACGTAGACCCAACCCCCCCCACCCCAAAAAAAAACAAAAAAAAAAACGACAACAGAAAGGTCTCCAGTGGGTGTTACATGCTGCGCCTGCAACAGGCTGCACGGGCCATTTTCAGGCCCGTGTTCTTTTCAGCCTGAAAGTCTGAAATCAAGGGCCTAGGCCCTGTGTTGTTTTCAGCCTGAAAGCCTGAAAACAAGGGCCTACAGGCCCCGTGTTGTTTTCAGCCTGAAAGCCTGAAAACAAGGGCCTACAGGCCCTGTGTTGTTTCAGCCTAAATCAGGGCCTTTCCGGCCCCGAGTCTTTTCAGCATGAAACGGAGGGCCATTTTCAGGCCCTCATAAGACCGACCTGCCCTGAAACGTAGGGACCAGGCCAGAGTTTTAGCTCAGGCCATTTTTGGCCTATTTTCAACTTTCAAGACAACCTCTGTTTGAGCTTCAACCCCAGGGTCTGGCACGTTTTGGCATTGGCAAGAGCAGCCTCCTGGACGGGCCAGCACTATATAAGACTGGCCCGCCCTGCAGGCTGCAGGTAGTTGCTAGGTAGTTCCTAGGTACTTCCCAGGCACTTCACGTGCAGTTCAGGAGGCAGGAGGTAGTCTTCAGGATTCGGCAGCAGCACTCTGGAGGAGCGCTGCAGGAGTAGTAGCAGCGCTAGCAGTAGTCTTCAGCGCTGGGCGCTAGTAGAGAGAGAGTTCTTCTTCTTCCTCTTTTCACCATCTCCCTTTCACCCTCTCGCTACCTGACTTCACCGTATCAGCAGACTACGAGAGAAAGAGAGAGCTTGGTGACATTTGGATCCAGACTCGACATTTGGGCTTCAGACATTTTGACGAGGGATTATTCGGGACTTGTAACAAAGACTTGGTGTTGACGACATTCCCATCTCTCCCCCTCTTCTTCGTCTGTTCCCCTCCTCTTCGTCTGTGCATGATCTGGACCTGGCGCCTTCTTCCTGTGTGTAGCGCCAGGCCCCTTCACACCTTGTGATGAGAATGATGTATGTTGGGTCTGCGTTGCAACGTTGATTGGGCTAGTCATTGGTATCCTAGCATTCTGCTGCGCTGTCTTGCACTACGTGATAGAGGTCAGTCCCGGTCAGGTCAGGACTTGTATCTAAGTCTTCCACTGCGCTATAAAGCACCATTTTTGTATGTATCAGAATGTACACTGCTTGTTGAGATTTCACCGGCACTGCATTGTCCATTCAGTCCTTTTTATCACATTGCGGATCCTTGGTTATTTACGTACATCGCCCAACTGGGCATGTAACAGTGGCCCAGTAGTTAACAGCAAATGGCTGTTAAGTGTGCCGAAGTAGTTTGTTTCTTTTTTTTTTCAACTACAGCATTGTTTAGGGTTCAATCAAGGGTTGGCTATTTGAATTTCTGACTGCTGAATGACAGTGGACTTTCTGGACTCTTGTAAAGGGACTCCTTTCAAGCTCAAGGTGTCTTTTTCCCTTTTTTTTTTGAAAAAGAAAAGGTCAAGGTATCCTTTCGAATCACTGTTTTTAAACATAGGGATCTCAGATGCATGGAGTTTATCTAGCCCGACAAAAATGAGATCAGCTTTCCAATGGGCAAATGAGCCTGTCTCAAACCTCACTCTGACCATGCGACTTGAAACTGCTGGAACAATGACGGTTCTTGCAACTGCACACAACACCCCAATTCAATTGGAGATACAGAGGCTTTCTCATGCCCACTGGTGATGCCTTAAAAGGGCTTTACCACAGAGCAGAAAGACTAGGGTGAGGACTCTAATGAGACTTCATGATGCCCACTGCTGCGGGCACTAAAAAATACAGCAACACCTCAATAGATACTCTCCCACCCAAAACAAGAAGAAGAAGAAGAAGAAGAAGAAGAAGAAGAAGAAGAAGATGCTCTCACGCCATGCATCCATACTCACAGACTCCATCACACACTTTCTCCAGGACCGCACTGACCGCAGTCACAGCCAAATTCACCTCAAACTTGAGCGTCAAAAAGACGTAATTCAAGTGTGCCCTTATTAACATGTGACCATGTGCTGCTTTGCCACAACTCACATATGCACATGCCAGTGGTTAGAACGCGCTGACACTGTTGGATTGAGATTTGGGTATGTCCATATGCCATGAACTGAAGCTGTCATTTTGGTTTTCACTGATGAGGATTCCGGGTTGGCCTTTCATGGTTGATGCAGCCTAAGCTGTTCGCGAAGAAATGACTTCAGCAGCCGCCACCGTCTTCACGCGAATAGAATGCCCGGTCATTATCCGTGTATCTAGACTGGACGTTCTGCTGAAACGGTATTCACCAGTTCGCAGTGGCTGACGCAGATCCCAGGGTTCGATCCCTAGCCCTTACCTTACCTGTGTACAGTATCTGTGTAGCCCCCGAGAGTTGAACCCGTGACCTGTGTGTTTCGTAACAGTTGGTAGGTCGTCGTAGGGTCTGTAGGCCGTCGCGGTTCGATCTGTAGACCTGTCCAGTAGGAGTCCAGCCAGGTCTAGAAGTCGTAGCTGAAGGCTTCTCGAAGAGTCAAGGTCGTAGCTGGTCCAGTCCAGAAGGGTCAAAGTCGTAGCTCCGACAGGACTGAAAGGCCAAGTCCACGGCCTTCTAGAAGGTCCCAGTGGTGGCCTTTCGAGGCTGCCCACATTTAGGCAGAGGCAAGTGGGCAAGTGGTGGAAGTCCGCCGTGCAGAGTCAGCGGTCCCAGTCCGGTCAGTCCGGTCCAGTCAAGCAAGTACCGCCTGGGGCTGTGTGCACCACGGGCCAGGGTAAAAGGGTAGACCGACGAGTCACAGAAGTATAAATCAAGAGGCCGCGCACAGCCATTCATTCATTCCTGCGGAAGCCATGCGGAAGCGCTGTCTCAGTGTCTTGTGCGAGGAGGTCTGCCGCCATAGCTGTAGGTGGAGTGCAGAGAGGGTGTGCGTGTGTGTTAGTGTTCGGAGTGAGGCGTGTGGGATATCCAGGGTGATCCAGTGTGTGTGAACAGTGAGTTGTGGGGCGCTGAGTCGCCATAGCCAGTGAAAGCGAACTCTTATCTGGATGCCATATCTCTGAGTTCTGTGTGGCCGCATGTCGCCAGTTTGCTGCGATGCTGTTTACATGCATGAAAAGTGTGAATGAGACGAGGGCGTGCGGCTATGGGGAGTTGCCAAGGGAGGAAGGCACTCCTCACCATCTTTGCTAGGTTGGTCGGTACTGGGGCTTGGTGGGGTCCTGTAACTCTAGCAGGGGAGGGTATGAGACCAGCCGTGTGTCGGTTGAGGACTGAACACGAGACCTGTAGTTTTCTCCAATAGTTGCGGGGAGAGTGGGTGGTTGTTTGGTTGTGCAGTCCGTACTAAGGTTCTTTGGTTCTGGATCCACGGTAGCACTTAGCCCTTACCTATAACTGGGGTGTAGGAGTTCAGAGACAGTCACAACGGGACTGACATCCGAATAGCTTTTTTGTTCTGTGCCCCTGTTTTGCCGATGCCAGAACGACGCTGGCCGGAGCTGGGGCGTCGCCCTGTGACCTGCAATTCGCAGGAGTATGAGGCCTTGTAGAGAGATCTGGGGTTTGCCGAGGGTGGAAAGCAAGCCAGTGGCGAATAGGGGGGGGCTGCGTAGTGGCGAGAAGAGATCAGCTATGGGTGATGTTGGTATGGTTGGTACTGTCCCTGAGTACGTATGTCCCGGGGAAAGGAGGGCTAGGAATTACCTTAGGAGTCTAGTTCCAAACAAATTTTCATAGAATCTCTCAAAATTTTCAAAAAACGTTGCAATCTGTTCTTAAAAAAAGGGGGGTAGTCTGTTTTGTCCTAAAAATGTCTTCTGGATTCTGGGGATTCCTGGCAACTTTGTTTAGGTGGTACCGAGGCTGTTATACTCGGTGATCTGCGGCTGTTCGATGCCAGAACGACACTGGCCGGTGCTGGGGTGTTGCCCTGTAACCTGCTGATGCAGGAGCAGAGGCCTGGTAGAGAGATCTGGGGGTGCTTTGGGGGGGCATTCCATGGGACAACCAAGGGTTGCTGCTGGGACGACGCTGGCCGGAGCTGGGGTGAGTTGTGTTGCCCTGTAACCCAGCAGGATGAGGGAGTGTGAGGCCTGGAAGTGCTCGGCAGGGAGTAAGACAGTGTTGGAGAACCTTGGAAGGTTTTGTTAGGGATTTCGCGGGTTTAAGGGCATTTGCAGGACTTCGGCAGGCTATTCCCATACTTTTTGAATAACTGTAAGTTTTCTCAGATGGCTTTTCAGCCAAGCCGGGTAACGGGTAAGAGAGGGATTGACGTTAGTGAGAGAAAGACATCACGCATCCTACTAGTGAAGGGGCTAGCTGGTAGGATAGAAATAGGGCACAGCAGCAGTAGAGATGGTGGCTTTGCTGCAGTAAGTCTTGCCGGAGTGAGGTAAGAGGACTGAGGGTGGATCCTTGAAGGTTTTCCGAATTTTGTCTGACTCTGAAGTTTCTCGCAAAAAAGGTCTGGAGTAGCTCTAAAATTCTTAGTAGGTTCCTAGTCTCATTTTTATGGAATTTTCTGATGACTTTTCTGAAGGTGCTCGTCATGGGATGCTGGGCCCGGTTCCCAGTTTGTGCCAATTTGTGAGAATATGGTTGCATCTATGGGACACTGGACCCGGTTTCCAGCAGGTGTTGCTCCCCAACAATAGATGGAGCTCGTGTTTTTGTGAAAAAAAAAAAAAGAAAAAAAAGATTGCACTGCCAAGTACAGCTATAATGACCAGGCATTTTATTCGGGTGAATGGCCGGGCATTCTATTCGGGTGAAGACGGTAGTGACATGAAAAGAAGCAGACATGAAGCTTTCTATAGCTTTATAGCTGACCTGCTGTGCCTTCGCTCCCAAAAGAACACGAGGGAATGCCGAAGAACACAAACTTTTTTTTTTTTTACCTTCCTTAACGTAGTTGATTATGCGCCCTCTTTTGCGATGCTCTCCATGAATTTCTAACCTGCTGCTGTTTATTTATCTCCTTCCCTTCACATGCATGTCAACCAATGCGAAGTTCAACCATTTATTTACACTGGGAAAAAACAAATGATCGAGTGGGACTTGCTACTCCCCATTGCTCTTCCTACGCACTCACTCGCTATTTCTCTTCATCGTCTTCCACACTTGATTGCTTTCCCCTCATCTCCCACCCTCCTTTAGTTGATCCACAGATTTTTTGGTTCGGCCAAACACCCCAAAAGAAAAAAAGGCACCATCAATAGTGGGGCTTCAGTGAAAGACATTCTTGATTGTCCGCAACCTTTCATGATTCCTCTCAGCCTAATCTGCTGCCACGTTCTTTATGAGCTTCAAGGCCCAAAAAACTAGAAATAAAGAAACGTCCTGCTTATAAGTTGTTGTTTCTCTCCCAATCCTCTTCCCACGCTGTTAAGCAGAGTCAAAACAAATGATTCGCATGCAAGTTGCTACTCTTCTCCACTCCTCTTCTCTACATCCTCCTCCACCCTTTTCGGTTCCAATCTCCCGTTCATAATCATCAGCCCATCTTTTTCCATGCTCTACTCCTCCTCCTTCGCCTGCTTTTTGCTCTCCGTGACTTTCTACAACCTTTTCGCATAGGAGGACAAGATTTCTACAACCTTTTCAAATAGGAGAGAAAAGAAAGGATGCACTTTTGTTGTCAGTGATCTCTCTCTCTCTCTCTCTCTCTCTCTCTCTCTCTCTCTCTCTCTCTCTCTCTCTCTCTCTCTC